CAAAACCCAACTCTCATGGCATTAGAAAGAGGATCATGAAAAACCTATAAAAAAATGGTTCATGAAATTTTAGTTCACTCATAAAGCTAAAGTCCGCTTGCTCTAGCTAAAAATGCCCACTGTGCGTCGTAGCAGCTCTAACAAAATAAAAATAAAGAATCTTCTACTAATAACATTCGGGCACCTCACCGTCTGGCCTCCCACTCCACCTCTTTTTCCTATAAATCCTCTTTTTGCCCTCTTTTTTGGGAAAAATCTTCTTTTTTCACGGACACAGTACCTATTGACGAACAAATTCGTTATTGTTGGTTCATTCGGTGGTACATGTCATCATGTATTTTTACTCTTGATTTCTACTAGTCGTTAAGCTCGGACTCTTCAATCAAGTGAGACTAGAAACTCTCTCAGCTGCCTAGATTAAACAAAGTATCAATCCAATCTACATACTATATTTAAAAATAATGGTAAAAATACATATGCATGAATGAAATGAAGTAAGGAGACCACTAACTGATCCGACTACTTACTAACTCTGTATTCTATATGCACTCGAACTGACTATATCTGAATGGATTTAGTCTTAGTTCGTTCCAAATTAGTCTCTTAATTCATCTCACAAATTTTTTTTCTCAATTCGTCCTAACTAATTTTTTACATAATTTTTGTTCTCAGTGCGTCCCAACTAAGTTTGTATATATATTTAACTCTCAGTTCGTCTCAGATTTTTTAAAGTATAATTTTCAAAATGTTATCAGCTTCTTTTTCGCATTATGGCGTAATTAATTTATTATGATGAAAATTAAAAGCACACAGTATCTTCTATGACTGGTAGTCTGAATACACTGTAATTTAGACAGAGATGCTCAGAAAAAGATGCCGTAAGATTTGAAAAAGATACTCAGTACCCTATGTAAATGTTAGAAGATTACGTGATTGAAACTACTATGTCATACCAAAATGTTACATTTCACAGTGACTGAAAAAGGTAATCCAGTATTAAACTACAAGTGTTATCAAAATACGAAAAAACGAGAAAATAAAAAAAGTAATCAGTGGAGATGTCGTGATCGTAATCGTTCAAGTACAATATCATTATGCTCACAGGATTTATCAATAATCAAAAATGAAGCAACTCATACATGTGCACAAGACACTAATAAATTTATTAGTATTTGTTGGTATTCTGGCTATGTTCAATTAGCTATTAAATGTGGTAGAGCTGTGAAAACAAATCCGACTGAAAAATAAATTATTTTTTGTTTACTCATTTGTTGTGAATACATAAGACTATTATTAAATTATGTGAAAAATTAGTTGAAACGAATGGTCTTTCTCTGTATTGTAGTATATTCAGGCTACCAGTCATAGAAGATACGGTGTGCTTTAAATTTTCATCATAGCCAGGCTTAAAGACCACTAGTATGTCTATGTATGGCAGCCTGTAATCTAGAGCAAGTAAAATTATTTAAATACCTAGGTACGTGTAGCACAGATAAACTGTCATACAAGCCGACGGTCGATGAGGCTATAAATAATATTCAACAGTCATATGGGATACTATGCTGGCTTGCTAAAGGCGCATTATCGGTTAAGCTACGACTAATGTGCTTATTTTCGTATTCTTTCCCTTTCCTTGCTGGTCTTTTCGCGACCTGTCCGTTTCTCCCAACGACCTTAACGGAACTGTTAAATCGAAAATTTCGAGTTGGCATGCATTTAATCTGTAACTGTCCAGGGGTGGACGCTAGGGAGTTATTTGAGATATGCAATGAAAAGAAACTGGAGGAATATAAGGTCACTTACATAAAAAGGAGACTGTTGAGACGGTACAAATTCGATATAATCCGAAATTATACTGTAAAAAATCTGAGAGGAACTGAGAGTTAAATATATACAAACTTAGTTGGAGCGAACTGAGAACACAAATTATGTGAAAAATTAGTTAGGACGAATTAAGAGAGACTAATTTGGGACGAACTGAGAGGACACCTTCTGAATGTATGCTTTCGTTCATATATATACTTAGGGCTGACGAAAAGTTCGTAGAACGATGTTTAAATTTTTATAAAATACTTAACATCGAAAGATTTATTGCATGAATACTTAGTAAAAGGTCTCGTCTATAATTCTAACAGTC